TCGTCGTTTTCGTAACTATTTTCCTTCAAAAGAGCAGTTTACTCCTCTTCAGCGGGCACGATGAGCTACAGGAGATGCATCGAGCCGTGTGACAGGTTTATCGCAGGAGGAGACACTCATGATGTTTGGGCCTACAACACGGTCAAGTGGCGCTTAGCGGCCTTTCTGATTGTCGACACTGTGATAGCCTGCGGCTAAAAGTATTGCGCCCGAGGCTCGAGGCCTTCTCGAATAAAGTAGATCTCGCGTCTAACCCCCGCTATCCCGTTTCTGCGGTTGCCGAGGCGCCGCACGAGACGGTCGCTTGGGGTGATGCATGCGAGCCGAGGCTCATAGAGGGTGAGTCAATGGAGTTTTCTCCTTTTCTCTCGCTCTCTCCAGGCCATGTGCAAGCACTCGAAGAGCGCTATGGGGACCCCGTTGTCTTTGTCAACGATCCCTCCACGAGACGCTTATATGCTTTCAAGTGGAGACTTTTTGCCTCTTGGTGTAGACAGCGCACTCTAGATCCAGTCCATTGCCCCACTGGTTCAGTACTGGAGCTTCTTCAAAGTTGTTTTTCTGAGGGAGTTACCCCCGCCACTCTTAAGGTGTACGTGGCGGCCATATCAGCGGGGCGTGCACTCGTGGGAGGTGTTTCAGTTGGTCGCCACCCCCTGGTCTCTCATTTTACGCAGGGTTCGAGACGGCTTAAGCCGTGACTCATAGAGGGTGAGTCAATGGAGTTTTCTCCTTTTCTCTCGCTCTCTCCAGGCCATGTGCAAGCACTCGAAGAGCGCTATGGGGACCCCGTTGTCTTTGTCAACGATGATTTGCGGCCTACCCCGGAAGCTCGTGATGCGATGTCTTTCGGTCTTTCGGTTCGGCATGAGCCATTGCCTACGTTACCCCCTCGTAAGGACTGGTCTGTCATCCGTTTCGCAGAATTACGGTGACACGCAAGGGCTTTCGTGCTCTAAGCCCGTGGATGAGACCCCAGTTCCTTCAAGAAGGAGTCCAGATGGGGACGTTGTGTCGCCGCAAGACGATCACTACGGATGCGTCCCTTACGGGCTGGGGAGCGGTCCATCAAGGATGTCCAGTCTGTGGAGTCTGGACAGAGGTGCATCGTGGCTGGCACATAAATCGTTTGGAGATGCTAGCAGTCTTCCTCGCCCACCTGCTCACCCACGGCAACGCAAGCGGATAGACCTGAGTTTGACGGCCAAGGCCTCTCGTTCTCAGGCTCCTAATAGCAGTTCTTGATTCCTTTCCTCGTCTTCGGAGGCCAGGCCCTCCTTTAGAGAGTGTGGACGAACCGCACAAGCATATTCGCCTCTCTCGTTGTGGCCTCCCGGCTCAGAGCTTGATGGTCCCGCCACATACTGCGCCTCGGGCAGTTTTAGGTCGAGTACTTATGACGAGCACCCCCTCAGATACTCTGCGCGTTCCAGCCTTCAGAGTTCGAGAGAAAGCCCAAGGGTCATGCGAGCATGACCCGTTTATGACGGCCTTCAAAGCTCCCACTCTTGGGGTGGTGAGCAGGCCCGACAGGGCATTTGGACATCTTCCTGTTATAGAATTTCCCGCCACTCAGGTGCATCGGGGCCCTATACAGCTTATCGATTGTTTTGGAGGGCCTGACAGGCCATCCTTTTGAGCAGTTGGAGTCTGTGTCAGAGAAGCTCTTGACCCTCAAGACGGTTCTTTTGGTGGCTTTATCCTCCCTTAAGAGGGTAGGGGATCTGCAGGCTCTCTCCATCAGCCCTTCGTGTATGGACTTTGCCCCAGGGCTGGTTAATGTCTTTTTGCGACCTAGGCCTGATTATGTTCCTAAGGTCGCTTCGACTTTGTTTCGCTTTCAGCAAGTGGTCTTAGAGTCCTTCTCCCCAGCTGATGCGGGGCCAGTTAGCCTGAGTCTCTGCCCAGTGAGGGCACTTAGGATCTATGTCGACCGCATGGCTCAGTGGCGTGGATCTGACCAGTTGTTTGTGTGTTTTGGTGGTAAGAGCAGAGGTTCTGCTGTCACTAAACAGCGGATGTCACCCTTTAGGGGTGCGTGCTCATTCTACAAGAGCAGTGGTTTCTTCTCAGGCCTTCTTCAAAGGGTCCTTGATGGAAGATGTTTGTGCTGCGGCAGGATGGTCCTCTCCTAGCACCTTCATCAAATTCTACAGTCTGGACGTGAGGTTGGCTCTTGGCTCCCGGGTCTTATCCGCTTGAGCAGACGCTTTCCTTGGTCTTCCAGCTATCTAAAGGTACGTCAGGCGTTATGGTATAGCGTTCCCAAAGCGATGACGTCATCGCAGCATCGAAGTGAGCCTATGAGAGGGAACATCTCGGTTACGTATGTAACCTTGGTTCCCTGAATAGGGAACAAGATGCTGCGATGCGGGCCGTTCCGTACCTTTGATAGTGCTTCCTTCGTAAACTTCGTCCACGCTGATATAGCTCACCTACGTGCGCGTCTGGGGCGGTGCTAAGCGCTATTTGGCCAATGAATTGGCGTGATGGTATAAGGGCTTCAGACATTCTTCACACCGAAGGTGTTCCCAAAGCGATGACGTCATCACAGCATCTCGTTCCCTATTCAGGGAACCAAGGTTACATATGTAAACCGAGATGTTCTTAAAACCTAAAATATGTACATTTATACCACCCTCTACAGTTAGCAATGATGTACTGCATCTTATAAATAATTCAAAGAAGAAACATACTATTACATTTTTCAAACTTCTGTACTCTTTTCTTATTAAAGAGTACTAAATGATACCATTATACCATTTTAAATAATACTAAATTAGTATAATATTTACCTCTCAATTTAGGTAAGATAAAAAATAATAAACTGGCAATAATTTAAGTATAAATGTGTAAAGTATATATTCTATTGATATATTTATAAAGACACAATACGGTTTACAAAACAAATGTCTGAAATTATTTATCTTATCATGACATAAGAATAATATTAAAGAAACATTAATACTGTACCATAAAAGTTAACAATGTTAAATTTTTAGTGTAATTATCTGAAAATGATCTTTTAATATTCAGTCTTCATTCTGTGTAATTTCATGGAAAGAATGACCAGTACATTCTTCAAAATAACATTGTAGTTGCACACAACATGTTATGCAAGCACAAGTAAGCAGAAACTTAAGAACATGTCATAACCTCCATATGCAGATAATACTAAATTACACACAAATATTACTACCCGAATTGATCCATATAACAAACTGAAAAATTAACCAGAATGGGGCTACCTTACAAACATTTTTCATGGCTATTTTAGAAGGGAAAATGTTTTGCTCATTGGTGACATTTCATACCTGTTGGGCTTTGATGATAATTAAAGGTGTATTTATTTATTTTATTTTATTTTTTAAATATCATGCATAAAATGTCCCTCCACCTGACAGATCACTGAAAAAGGCGTCATGCTGATCGCACTGTGACAGCACTTATACACTTTATAAACAGAAAAAAAAAGGAGTCGGGGAGCAACCTCACAGTTTTTTTTCTTATCAAATACCCTGTCAAGCAAATATCCTAATGTAGCTGCATAAAATAAAAACAGTGCATATACTAAATATTTAAGGTTATTTACATCTAAAACTACTGCATGACCTAAACCTGAAAGGAAACAAGGGAAAAGGGAAACATAAGAATAGAATAGAATAGAATCTTACATTCAGTCATACAGACATTGTCTCTGCTGTGAGCTCGGCGATTAAGCCAAGAGGATGGCTTTAGATGATGGCTGCAGGACAAACACATAACACAAGATGTCAGTGTTGTCACATAGGAAAGTCATTTAACTCACCACTGTAAATGACTGTAGGCAAAGAGTTTTACACAAGTACACACTTAAATAATTGTGTTGCAAATACATTTTTATGGAGGGTTCTATTTATATACATTCCATTGTTCTATAACTGATTGGTTGCAGGTACTGATGGAAAACCTGACAAATAATAAAATGCAGTTAACCATATAATTATGAATAGTTAAGATAGCAAAAGTACTAAGATAGCAAAAGTATCTGCTTTTAAATAGGAGGAGAAAATATTTCCATATCTCTAAACGTCAAAGATAGCATGTCCAATCATACTCTACCATACTGTGCCACAAATTCATCTGTCTTGACTGAAGCCAAATTATATAGATGTCAACAAGTACAGGTTGAGTGACATTCTCTTATCCGCAAAAAAACTAAGATCAAAACTATGCAAGGTCAATAAAATAGGGCCCAGACTGCATTAAAACAAATGTATTGAAATTGTGGTATATGTTGGGTGCCACTTGAAAGCAAAAACATTTTTGGACCCCATTGACTTTCAATGTATGGATAAAAACAACACAAACATTCTTCAATATATCTTCAGCATTTTTGGATGAACTATCCCTTGATATCCAATGTAAAATCAGAGTCCTGAAGCTAAATCAGCTGTGTTTTCAGTGATCTAAAACTTGTGGTCTAGGGACTAACACAGTATAAATCATTCATATAGACATCATTAATCTTCTTACTCTTTGTAATAGGCATTCCCTGAGTCGCTGTACATCATCTCCCAGTTTTGCGACCCTGTCACCCGTGCTCCTCTACGGGGTCCGAGCCCATTCTCCAAGGCACTGCCGTCTCCTCCGCTTGAATCTCGTGATTGGCTGGGGGATGATGTGGGGGCGGGGGCACTGCTCGCCCAGGCCGAACCACCTAAATGCCAATGAAGAGAAAACAAGACTCGTGAAATGACACGGCTTACCTATTCTGGCTGAAAGCTTCGATTTCAACATTCATTGAATTATTACTCCAAGTCATTCTCTTTTCTATTCAGAATTCTATTCTCTTTTCTAAATGGGTAAATTTTTCCTATTGGATAAACAAAAGCAGAAAAACAGCTAAATGAAACTATCATTATGTATTACCATTTTATAGGTTTCTATTTATAGTTTGGCATTTACATTTTGTAATGAGCAGTCCACTGAACGGCAAGTTGAAGAACCCATGTGCAGTTTATTTAACAGAGTGAAATCCAAAATCCAAACATAATCCAAACAAAGACTTGACTTGAACAGACTTGACTTGAACAGACTTGATATAGAATGAACAGACTAGACTCACCGACAGCAGGTACATACATTAATACACGACAAGAGACAATGGCAACAAGAGGGCTACTTATAACAAACAAAAAGGGTCACATGACACAAACCAACCAACGGGGAACAAGGCACATGACTAAAGCAACCAATGAGCAAACAGAACTGATAATCACATGACAAGACAATAACCAATGAGAACATGACACATACACAAGGCAGAGATACATGAGGGCAAGGGAAGCATGACACTAACAGCATGAATCAAACTACAAAATAAAAGACATGAAAGCAAGAACATGAAACAAACCCAAAACAGACATTACATATCCCCCCCTCTAAGGGCGGCACCTGACGTCCTAGTGAAAAACCCACATCAAAACAGAAACAAAACTCAAAAAGTCCAGGAGGGTGGAAGTGCAGAGGCGGAATAGGGGGAGGAATGGAGGGCCAGGCCCGTGCAGGGGAACAGGTTCAGAATCATGGCCTAGGCTGTGGAGCATAGGGCAAGACCATGGGCCATGGTGCAGTGGCAGACAGTGATACACTGGCGGACCTGGGCCGTGGTGCAGTGGCAGACAGTGAAACACTGGAGGACCTGGGCCGTGGAGCAGTGGCAGACAGTGAAACACTGGAGGACCTGGGCCGTGGAGCAGTGGCAGACAGTGAAACACTGGAGGACATGGGACGTGGAGCAGTGGCAGACAATGGAGCAGAGGGGGACCTGGGCCGTGAAGCAGTGGCAGACTGTGGAACACTGGAGGACCTGGGCCATGGAATAGAGGCAGGCTGTGGATCAACGGAGGACCTGGGCCATGGATCAGATCCATAGGAGCATGGAGCCATGGTGGAGCCGGCAGAGCAGGGATCCATGGCGGTGCAGGCAGAACAGGGATCCATGGTGGTGCAGGCAGAGCAGGGATCCATGGCGGTGCCGGCAGAGAAGGGAGCCATGGCGGTGCCGGCAGAGCAGGACGGACGAGTGGTGCCGACAGAGCAGGAAGCCATGGCGGAGCAGAGACATGGACAGACCACTTGACCGTGACAGACCAGGCAGAGAGTTTGTGAGCAGCCACCATAGCTGCAACATGACAGGCAGAATGTTCATAAACGGCCTCCTTGGCCGTGACAGGACAGACTGTGAGTTCATGAATGGCCTTCTTGGCCGTAACAGGGCAGACTATGAGTTCAGAAGCGGACGCTGCCCCCTCGGGAGGTTCTGCAGCGGATGCCGCCGCCTCTGGAGGTACTGGAGCGGATTCGTGGAAATGAGAGGCCTCTGGGGCAGACTCATGGACAGGAGAGGCCTCTGGGGCAGATTCATGGACAGGAGAGGCCTCAGGAGCAGATTCATGGACAGGAGAGG